GTGCTTGTTTGCATAGTCAGAGCAAAAATCTCTCTAAATCAGAGGGTGCCAGAGTTTTTTATCAATGGCTGTGTCAGAAGGAAACTTTCTGGAAACTCTAACATTTTGTATTGTTGAAGTTATGAATTGCAATTAACATGTATAACCAAAATGCACCTTTTTGTTTTCTTCTTTCAGTCAAAGACTGTTAAGATCGCCAAGAAAGGTCAGTTTCAAACATTTTTTTTTGGTAGCTCATTCAAATTGTACATGTTTATGTAGCTGTTTACATAATGATTCTGTCAATATTTGTTTTTTTTTCTTGTAAATTGATCCTTTGTAGCCTAAAAGTGACTAGCATTGAACTTCTCAGGACTTATAATATCACCCCTGAATCACACATTAAGGTCTTTAGAGTAAGGGAAATGATTACCAATTATCAACAACTAAAGAAGCCCTTGACTGTCTAACAAATTCTCCTTGTCAGCACCTTGAGAAATGTATAGAGAACAGAAGGGAGAATATGTATACTGATGTTAGGGCATTAAGGGTTAAATCAGCAAAGTTTGCTGGGGAACAATTCTCAATAGGAATGCACAATGAAAGTTTGTATTCTTTTGTTCTTCTAGTCTACTAGAAAAATTTCCAAGATACCATTTAAAGTTTTAGATGCTCCAGAACTACAGGTTGGTTTAATCTATGTCTGACAGCGAGAGCAGTGCTACTTTTAATTTTTATTTTACTATTTTTTAGCAAAACTTACCAGAGACAGAAAAAAAGTCACATTCTTGGCAATGAACTGTGCTGGATTTTTATCTTTCATACTTTGAAAGCCAATATATCTTTTAGTGTATATATACAATGTACATGCATTAAGTGTTTTTTTCCTCCCCTTTTTTGGGTGAGCTGCTTGATAAAAAAATATTCTTTGGATGATCATGCAAAAAAACTGCTGCATCTAATTTTTTCGGCTGGATTGTAAATTTAAGTTAGTCCTTTTAAGAGGAAAAGTAAGCAGTGGTTACTCATTTGATTATTAACAACCATAAAAGAGCTGTGTACGTGTTTTTTCTTCAGTACTTACTTTCTTTCTCTTTTTTTTTTTCCTTTCATTTTGCATGTTTTTTTTTTTCCTTAGGATGACTTTTATCTAAATCTTGTGGACTGGTCAGGACAGAATATTTTAAGTGTTGGATTAGGAACCTGTGTTTATCTTTGGAGTGCCTGCACCAGTCAGGTATGACAGTTTCTTTCTAAGGATGTTTCTGAAGGCCATGTTTTTTGTGTGTGTAGTTTTATGCTTTATATGCTCCATTCAGTTTGCAAAAAAACACCAGGAAACCAGAAACAGCATGGCTGCAATATTGCCATGGTCAAAATTTTGAAAAACTGTCACTTGACTTCCAATTAGAATGACTTTGATGAGACAAAGTGATATCTTGCTGAACAAAATTATTTTCTGTAATTTCTCCACAGGTTACCAAACTCTGTGATCTTGCATCTGATGGGGACTCTGTGACATCTGTGTCTTGGT